GCGCGGAAGCGGCCGGGCCAGGGCCCGCCCCTCAGCGCGGGTTACCCGCAGCCGGGCTCTCCCAGCGCCCCTCGCAAGGCTGGCGGGGCGGCACCGCCTGCCCTCAGGCGCCCGCAGGTAGCTCCATCCTCACTCGGCCACTGCCGCCGCCGCCGCCATCTTCCCGGCGCCCCGCGAGCGCGGAGGGGACGGCGGCGCCGCACGGCACGAGGGCTATGGCGGCGGGAAGGGACCGGGAAGCGGCTGAGGCCGTTCGCCGCGCCAGCTCCCGCCGCTGGCACGGCCGGGTCGGAACGACGCGAACCGCTCGCCCCTTCCTCCGCGAACCTCCCCCACCCCGCCGAGCGCCGTCACCGGCACCGTGACGCAGGGCGGAAGTGGCGTCTCAGAGCGGAGGAGGCGGGGGCGGAAGCGGTCGCGGGAGGCGCGCCGGGGGGCGGGGGCGGTGGCAGCGACAGCTGAGAGGAAGTGGCGAGCGGGCGGCCGCGCTTTGGCGGGACGGCAGGGCGGCTAGCGCCGCAGCGGTGTGGGGCTGGGCGCCGGGGCTGGTAGGTGGGCTGCCTCGGGGTGAGGTGGGAGGAAGGCTTCCGGTCCCGCCGCGCTGCTCTGCCGGGATCTGTGCGCGTTGTGAGCGCGGTTAAATCGCAGCAGTTCTCCGAGGAGCGAAAGCTGGGCAGCTCTAAGACCGGCTCTCCCGCTGCTGGGAGTTGGCCGCGAAGCCTGCCCTCGTCTGACGTTTCTGGGCTGTGCTGATAGTTGTGTGTGGTAAACCGAGTGAGCGAGTCGTTCTTTAGCGAGGCTGAACAGAAAACTGCTGTTCTTGTTCTGCCCTCGTAATTACTGATAACCCCTTTAGTTCGCAGGCCCTCGAAAGACTTTCTTAAATTCACGGATAGTAGGTTATTATTTTTAACAGCCATTGGTTGTGGCTTTTTCGTACCTAATTTGGTTTTCCCGGTGCATTCGGGATCAGCGAAGTGCTGAATTAGTTACTGCTGAATCATATTGGAGACTTATATGACACAGCGTGAGCTGCTTGTGTAGGAGGCAGCAACTCCTTCAGTAATGCTTCCGTGTGCTGATGTAACCTGAAGTTTTCAGGAGCTTTGTTTTGACTTTTCTGGATTGCTGCAGGATTCATTCGCTTTCATATTTTATTTTATTTTCCAATAGTAAATACATTTACTTAAGTTGTAGCTCAAGCTTTGTGTAAATGTTCAATATTGACTGTAGTGGGATGATGAATCTAAAAAAAATGCTTTCACATGCAGAATGGAAACTGACTGCACTCCTATGGAGTTGACCAATAACACAGAGTCTGAAGAGGATTCTGATTATAGAGACTTCGAAGAAGCAGATGTGAAAGACATGAGACTAGAAGCTGAAGCTGTAGTGAATGATGTTCTGTTTGCTGTCAGCAACATGTTTGTTTCTAAAACTCTTCCGTGTGCAGAGGATGTGGCATACATAAACGTGGAAACCAGGGAAAAGGGCAGATACTGTGTGGAGCTCACTGACTCGGGACTAAGGGTAAACTACCTTGTTTATAATTTCTTAACTGTCTTCGTTTTGAATGATGTTCCTGTTCAGAAGGTACCTAGAAAGCAACTTCATTGATACCAAAACTGCATACATATCCTCTTGTACTTTTATGAAAGTCAGTTCTATGTGTTCCCCTACAAAGTGGCACTTCTGTTAATGCAAACAAAGGAAGAAGGGAAGTTAGTTGGAAAATAGGCATTTATTTGAGACACTTGCAAAATAATGAGGGCTGAAGCAGTTAATGGACAAGTTTATTATGAGCACATCAGTCTTCACAGGTGCCTAGAAAAATTAGTAACATAGTGTGTATACAAATCCATTCTGGACCATTCATATTGTTTCTGCAAATGTGTAGAAGAAGGTGATAGCGATGGATTTTACTGCTATTAGAAGCTTGAGAAAAAAGCATCTGAAACAGTCTAAATACTGTGTTACCAGTAAGACCCCCAGTAGAAAGCGTAGACAGAAATTTAAATCAATGTTGTTGTTTTTTTTTTTATACTACTGTACAACTGGCAAAGCTAAACTTTGTGGTACCTGTTTCTCATTGCAACATGATCCTAATCACAAAAAAATAACCAGTGATTTCTTTGTTGCAGGTAGTAGCTTATGATTTTGATCAGACTGATGACAGTTTGCAAAACCCATACCATGAAACTGTCTACTCCTTATTGGACACACTCAGCCCTGCGTATCGGGAGGTGTTTGGAAATGCATTACTACAAAGACTGGAAGCTTTGAAGAGAGATAGTCAATCATGATGTGCTCTGAAGGAAGATTTAAGACTAGAAGGAATTATTTGTATGAGGCTCTGAGATCTTTGTTACAAATGCAGCTGCGAACGTCTAAAGATTCATTTCTTGTATTGATATCTAATACATACTAGAACTATTCTATAACATGTTGCTGCAGAAGATTTATGCATATCACAGTGCTATCCACTTGGATAGACTGTAAAACTAAACAATGTTTTCTTTTTGTTGTAGGTGAGCTTATAACTTCTTCCAAAAATGTTCAAAAACATTTGGTCTCTGTTCAAAGTGTTACTATCAAAAGCTTTTGAAAAAATGTAGAGAATAAATGTTATATAGGCAATTAATAATCATTTTTTGTGCTTACAGGTTATTGCCATATCTGATTTTAACATGGAAGTTAACCACCTAATTACTGTCTGTTAATTGAAATTAATGAAATAAAACAAGCAGTTAACTTCAGTTTCAAACTGTGAAACAGACTTTCACACCAATTTGCTATGCATAAATCTGAAAGTTCTGAGTTTTGATAACAAGAAAGCTCTTGAGCAGTTGAGCATTGCTTATATAATGACAGTATCTGAGCTAAAAGGTACTTGATCCATCCTTGTCTACAACGAGCAACAAACTTCAAAGAGTGAATGATCTACGTTACTATATGAATGTATTGTCTGAATTGCAAATGAGCTAAGCACAGAAGTAAGTTAGGATGTAACAGGCTACATTCCTTAAGGATGATGTATGTATGCTATACTGTAACTTTTTTGGGAGATTTGGAAGACATTTTATCTTGTTTACTATTCTGAATGTGTGTTTACATAATGTGCAGGATATATATACCCAGACTATTTTTGCTTCAGCCTTTACTTTCTACAACACAGTAATTTGGTACTCCTGATTTTTCTTCCTCAATTTTACAGTATCCTCTCCTAATGAATACAAGTATGCATTGTAATACTGATTGCATTGTATTGGTTTGAAACCAAAGGTATGAAATTTATTAGGACTAACACAAGCTGGAAGACATAACTTGTATTTTCTACTTAAAAACTGGTACAAATCTCTTTGTAACATATTGCTTTAACTTTTCAAGTATGTATTGAGTGATAGACTTTTTTTAAAAAAAAAATACTGTTACTTAGAAATACTAGAACTTCTGAACTAGCATTCTATGACCATGATACTTCTTGTATTCTTGTATTATTCAATATTTGTGCATCTTGATTTATTCTGTCATGCTGTTGTGCTAAGTATATCTGTATCTTTATTGGAGTTTAAGAACATATCAGTCCTTGTGAACTCACAAATTCTATTGACTTCAGTAGAGCTGTATTGACTTACACCTGTTAAGGAGTAGCAGTGTTAATTGGAGAAGGCAAACATTGGATTTTTTTAGAATAGTTTTGGGCTAATGATGTTATAACTGTGACTGGTGAGATAACCACGGTCATTTTTTCAATTTTCTACAGCTTAATTTGATGTTTGTTTAATTATCTTGTTAGGTTGATACTCCCGATGTTAATCTTTTGATCCTGGGTAAGGACCTCTGCTGTAAAATTTGTTCATAGGCTCTGTTTTGCACACAGGTCTGTGGCATGTAGTTAGTCCTCTGTGAGGAGAATGTACTTTACCAAATTTATATTTGAATATTTTCCCTTGCAGTTAATTTCCTTGTTCAATTTAAATGACTAAAGCATTAAATAAATGCACCAGTGTGTTAGTGATTTTTGTGGGGAGGGAAGAGAGGGGAGTGAACAACCAAAATGATTATTTCCATAGACACATCTTAAGTACCAGATTATTAACAAGTATTTCAAAAGTACCTTTGACTGTAAATTTATCTCCAATGAAACTGTCCTGGAAGGACAGAGCAGACAACCGTAAAGAGGTTCTTGGAAAGGAAGCATGAGAATGACAAGTGGAAAAAATGTCAGAATTAATGTTGCGCTGCCAGGTTTTTTTTCCTTAGACAACTTAAAAATGCTTTGTCATTACAAGTGCTTATTATAAAGCTAAGCTGAGAACTACTTACATAGCATACAATTTGTAGATGTTCTGGAAGAATTCTCTGCTGTTTCTTAGAAGGTAACGGGGTATTAAAAGTTAGAGAGCGACATCATTCCACCGTGTTTGGCTGTGGGCTTAAGGAGGAAATGCTCTCCATTCTTTACATTCGGAATTTGCACCTACATGGAGCTGCTTTGAAGCACTGACAGTAGATAATTTCAGTTGCTCTCCTTAAAACAATTTGTTCATATTTTCTGAAGCCAAATGAGCTCTTGGTCTAATGCAGCTGTAAATCTGTGAACTGCACTTTTCTGGAAGTTTTAACATGATGTATTACTACAAGAATCATCACCACGGGGGATGCGGCTGGACTCAATCTCTAGAGTTCGCTTCTAACCGCTGCAATTTTGTGGTTCTGTGATCAAAGCATGGTATTGCTTAGTACGAGTTACCAGTGACAGACCACCTCAAAGCCTCCTTGCTGCTGGAACAGATGTCATAAAACAGAGCCTTACAACGTTTGTTTTTTTTTTCTCTCAGCAGTACTAAATCTTGCCCTGACCGCTGTCAGGAAGTCGGGAATAACGTCCCCCTGCAGAAGGCCCTCGAGCAGGAGGTGATGGCAAGGCCGCGAAAGCCTCCGCCCAGCGCTTCCCGCCCTTAGCAACGGGTCGCGTCGCCGCCGCCGCAGTTGCGGCCATGGCGGCGGGCGCTGCGCGGAGCCGGCGGATCTTCCTCAACCACCTCGATTCCTACTGCGGCCGCAGCATCGGCGAGGTTGGGGAACGGGCCCGCGGCGGGCAGTGCAGCGGGGACCTGGGGAGGGGGGGAGACAAACGTGCGTCTTGTATGTTTCAGTATTTATCCAGTTGTGTTGTCGGAGCATCGCTAGAAAGCGTGGAAGGAGAGGAGGAGGATAGTGAGAATCGCTCGGAGGCTCAAGTTTCCAGGAGGCCAAAGGAGGGACTCTACCAAATAGTGGGGACTCTCTCTAAGCCAGAGAGTATTAAACCACGCTTTGCAGAGGAAACATATGCAGTAAGTCATAACCTTATTTCAGGTCATTGTTAGACAGCATTATAAATATTGCAAGGCACGTAAATGATCCTCATTAATGAAGTGTTCTCCCATTGTTGCAGGAAGTTTTACACATGTTTATTCCTCTGCACCCTGTTGTCTCCTCCCTGCTTGTTCGGATATAACAAATATTAAAACAAAGGAATCCGGTCTTAAAAAAAAGATTATTTTTTAAATAAAACAACAGTTCTGGACATGTTGTCTACCCTGATCACCCACAGATCTGTTTTCTTTTTCCCTCAAAACACAATGTTGTCTCTCTCATATCTTCTAACCTAACCGTAGTAGTACTGTGAACAAAGCATCTTCCCTCCTTAACACTTCACTGGCATAACAGCTGTCACTAGCAGCTAACTGTTCCAAATACATACTTTTTGCATGTACATCCAAAGTTCAGTTAACTGAAGGAGGCTTGATTATTATTTTCTGAAACCAAAATTGTTTGTAACCATCAAGTTGATTATCCAGAATCTCTTCAAAAATATGAGCCTTTTGATCTGAAATTCTATTAATAAAGACAGATGAGTCTTTATTTTAATAAAAAGTAAATATGGGTAACTATGTAATCTCAAGTGCTGCTGTCATACAGATTGTTTGTTGGACTTATTTGAGTGATGCACACAATCTGTGTTAGCAAAAAGATGGGATGTTGTTTTGTAAGGAAACTGATTTTTCTGTGTTTCCATTTTGCCACCCGATTCTTGTTCAAAATGGCTATAGAAGCCATAGATATATTTGTGATATTAACAAGTATACTGAAAATACAAATCCTAAAATTGCATGTCCTTTTGAACTATGTAAATGTGAATTGTAAATCAGAAGTTTCAGCAATTAATTTGCCTTCAGTTGCTTTACTTTTCACTGACAAATAGTTTGACATGAGTACAGCAAGAAAACTACATTCTACCATTTCTAAATTTGAAAAGGAATTTTGTCTATTAGGTTTTTTCCTTTTTTTTTTTTTTTTTTTTTTTTTAATAAACAATTTTTAACTATTCTTTTCCCTCAGGTCTCCTCTCAGAAAGAGCTCTTAAGTTATTTGCTTGAATGTGACATTATTTTATATAATATCACTGAGGATGCAAACCAAATCGAGGAAGCAACATGGGCTGCTTCTGGTTAGTACAGCTATCAACTGAACAGAAAACTGTTTTCTATACAGCCACTAAAGTTTACTATAGATGTCTAACAAATTAACCTGTAATTTATAGTTCACTATAATATAAAACTGGATTCCTTGCTGGGGAAATGATGCATGAATTGTTCAATTAATTCATGTGCATTCCATGGCCCATCGCTCCTTGGTCATAGGATGGTCCAACACTTGAAGTGACATAGCTGTGTGGACAGCTATTTCAAAAAAAAATATCTACTGTCATCTTATCCATTTGTATTTGCTCACAGGAGAAAATGTTCACCCAACTTCAATGTTTCTATGTTTTATCTAATTATCTTAATTGTTGGAGAGGGTCCATAGAAGGGCCGTGAAGATGATCAGAGGTCTGGAGCACCTCACCTACGAAGACAGGCTGAGGGAGCTGGGCTTGTTCAGCCTGGGGAAAAGAAGGCTACAAGGACACCTCGTTGCAGCCTTCCAGTATTTAAAAGATTATAAAATAGGAGGGGAATCAGCTTTTTACTTGGGTAGATGGGGATAGGACAAGGGGGAATGGTTTTAAAGTCAATGCGTGAAGGTTTAGATTGGATGTTAGGGGGAAGTTTTTCACAGAGAGAGTGGTGAGGTAATGGAACAGACTGCCCAGAGAGGCTGTAGATGCTCTGTCCCTGGAGGTGTTCAAGATCAGGTTGGATGGGGCCCCAGGCAACCTGGCCTAGTACCAGATCTGGAGGTCCATGGCAGGGGTTTGGAACTGGATGATCCTTGGGGTCCCTGTCAACCTAAGCCATTATATGATTCTATGATCTTAACAGATTTTTACTTAAATCTGTTATTAAAAATATCATTAACAGTTTTTCTACACCTTTCTCCTAATGGTCATAACCAAATTCTAATGGTGTCTGGAATCATTTTATGGTGACAGTGCAATATTGCTCTTCATCTTAAATTTAGTTAAACTAAGTTCTTCTTTCCTGCTTACTGTTTAATAGTTTTGCTCTGAATTAAAGAAACTTCCTTGAATTTTGGACAAGCTGTTTCAGTTACAACAAGCACACTTCTTTCAGTATCTCAGCTGTCAAAGAAGATGAAGCATTTTCTAGTATACATTGTTTCTTTGTTTCTTTTTCTGTGATACTCAGCTCTGTATAGATCATGTTAATTACTGACCACACGGTTACACATTATTTTTTATTTGCTTTCTTTTTATCATTGGTTCATTTCTATTTTACACCAAGCAAAATAAAGGGTATTTACTTCAAAACACTGAACACATAGCACTATAGCATAAATGTATATATACAGGGCCAAAAGAAAATATAACATTTGTGTAATGTAGTCTAAATAGATTTAATCCTTCGCTTTCATTTAACAGCCCTACATATGGAAATAGAGCATTTTGCAGCACCAAAAACGTTCATCCTCATTTCAACAGTAATGAGTTGGGCAAAAAGCAACCCCTCTGACCCAGTAAGTAATATGAGAGAACACTCTTCTCTTACCATTTCCATTTAATGGAAAATAAATGAATAAATATTTCCATTTGATTTATTTGTTAATTTCATTTAAAGTACTGCAGTGTGTACTTCAAAAACACTAACTTCATGTGCTATTATTAAGTATATTTTTTCTTTGTGGACCTTACACTTCAATACCCATTGGTAAGTGGGGGCTTGACCTGTTAAACCTATTCCACCAAACAGACAAGCATAGGCAATGAGATACTATGATGGGCAGACATTAGGACTGCTTGGACATACTCTCTCAAGTATCATCTTTAGAGGTTCTAAGCATTTCAAATTAAAGAAAAAGAGATTTAAAAAAATATTTTAACAACTTCTTTTAAAACATATAGGCTTTTAAAAAATATTCAGTTGTACGACTTGTGTAACAGTTGCATTTTTTTCTTCCTAGGAGGATTCCGAGATTCCTTTTACTGAGGAAGATTATCGTAGAAGAAAACCTCATCCTAACTTTATGGATCACATAAATGCTGAAAAACTTGTTCTCAAACTTGGAAAAAATGTATGTTAAGACCTTTTCTGGTTTTTGTTGTTGTTGTTGTTGTTGTTTGTTTTGTTTTGTTTGTTTGTTTTTAAATAAGCTTCTTTACAAAAACTGAAAAACAAAAACATACTGAAGTCATCCTACTGTGTTATCTTAATAATGAAAGTTATCAAGTATTTGATTAAATTTGTAGCGCATTATACCTTTAATAAATGTGAATATCATCCCTTAGTAATAAAAAGCTAAGCATAGAAAAGGCCGTGTTTTAGAATTAATAGATAATAGTTATATTTAAATTACAGAATTCATAATACAGATCCCAATGTTATTTTTCAATATCTACTGAGTAAATCATGCTTATCTCAATTTAAAAAAAGAACAACGCTATTATGTTGGTTGTACAAGAGAGAATTAAAACTGGAGCTTGTGTGGGGAAATCTCAAGCGTAAGATTTTTACCTCTTTCTTTGTAGCAAAAAGATACGGCATGCAGCTTTTCTGAGACAAGCTGCTGATTCAGAGGTACTGATGAGTTCAGAATCCCAAAAAAACATCTGCTACCACAGATAGCTCATCTCCCAGCTCTGTTCTCAATGGCAGCCCAGATCCTGAACCCATCAATTTAAAGCCATTCCCACTTGAAACTTCTTATTAGAATGAAACTAACCATCAAACAGAACAGCCAAGCCCAGGGCTGATTATAATAGCTGAAATGTGACATCTAGTGGCTTCAATGAAAATTACATGGTAACTTGAACGTCTTTAACAGTGACTGAATATGTTGTGTGTAACTGGAGCTTACCAAATCATTGCTTCATTTTATTCATGACATATATCCAACTGATCTCAAGTAGTAAATTCAGATGTGTGACTCGTGCCACTATATAGTTTTTGTTTGTTTGTTTTTGTAAGGAATTGGATCTGTTTTACTGCATTGTATTTCTCTGGGTGATGAACTGTGGTTTGTGTTCCATAAGTGGTGCAGAACCTACTGCGAGGTCAGTGATAAAATGGCCTACTGCCTCCCTGCTCTTTGGGTAGATGAGAAATGGCCTTTCCTATGCTTTCACAAGGGTCAGGTTTTTCCTGCTGGGAAACAGAAATTAGTGTACCTTCTCCTGGAGCACATGTGCAGTCTGTCCAGAACAAACCTGGGAGCAGCTGTTCTTAGGTTATGAATAGTTTCTATCTACTCAAGAAAAGTTAGTGGAGGAGAACTTGTGTTATCTATAATAACTTCTGATTGTAATATTACATGTGATTAATAACAAGTTGCTGTGTTCAATTGAGTTGAAATAGTTTTTATTACAAAGATTTATTTTGTAGCAGAAATATACAAATGCATTACACAAATACAGTATAGTGATATATACCTGGCATCTCTGTAGATGATGCTTTAATTATACAATCCAATACTGGCTAACAGACTTCATTGTTTTATATTTCTGAAATAATATGAAGACTGTAGCAAAATATTTTTTTTTTCACATGCAAAGTCTAGATGTTTATTCTCTCTGTTGGTAAGTGCAAGTTTGAGATCTTTAGAAAACCAGAATTATTTGACAATCTTGTTTCAACTTAAAAATGTCGAAGTGGTCCTCCATTAAAAAACTTGCTAGAAATTTCTCTCCTTAGGGTGATTTAAATATTGTTTCTTCTGTGTATGTAACCATTCTCACTAGTGATCAAAGCAGTATCATTTTACATAAACAGTCAACCAGAACAGGTAAATTTACAACCAGGTTGGTATTTCTGGTCAGCAAAAAGATACAAGGGCTGACCATGATGTATGGGTAGGAAAACACTTTATAGTCTACTGATTTTGTTTAAGATTTTATATCACAATTAAAGCAAAACAATTACAGAAGTATTGGACTCCCATTTTCCAGTTCTGTAGGCAATCAAATACAAACAATACAATTAGGAAAGAAAGCTTCCACAAATTTTAGTTATATCTCTTGGAAAAAGAAAATGGAAGTGTATTTTACTCTGATCACTTCACTGATGTACCTAACTTCCAATTTCTTAACTTTTAAGAATCTTTTATAATTTCAGCTCAAATGCAGATACACCAATTCTGAGCTTTTTTGTTTGTTTGTTTTTTAAGGAAATATTACCAGTAAGACTGACAAAACTAGCAGCTATGCAATGATTGATCTAGCTCCAAATTTTAAAGAGAGATGATTTAAATACTTTCTACATTTGATATACAAGTTCTCAAGTTTTCAAGAGCTAGTATTCCATTAGCAATACCATCTTATTATAAAACTCTTGTTAATTTTACTTCACAGAACAAACAAGCATTTTCAACTTATGTTGTTGCTTCAGGAATTCAGTATGGAGCTGAGGAAGGAGTCTTACACTACTTTTTTAAGGTAGATATCCAAGTATATTTGAAGGTTTGTCTAATATTTAAGGGCAATTTGCATTGGAATTAAATACATGTATAATAGTTTTGATATCATAGGCTTAATGTTCCTGTGAATGGAATTTATTACTTGATCCCTTTGATAAGAGTTTTAGCTATAATTAAAGTGATTTCCACTCTTTTGGCTGTGTATGTTTTTTAGCTTCTCCATAACTTTTTAACAGTATCTCCATTTGCACTCTGCAATCAGAACATATCCATCTCATCGATGCAATGAGAAAAAAAGTCTTTTCATTGTTCTTATTTTTATTACAAAGTATTAAAAATAACATGTGGCAGAACCAAAGAGTTTTCTTTAAAAAAGTTTGGTTTTTTTTGTAGGCTGCTACTATACTCAGAGTTGTTTACTGTGGTCCAGTAATCGTTCCATAAATTGAATTTTAAAATCTTGAATACGTAAATGTGCCAGTACACAAATACCTTTTCCTTCTAACTTCATTATCCACTTTTATTTTCAGATAGGTTGGCTTAGCGAGACTAATGCAATACCTGTTTTTGGAAATGGAAACAATTATATTCCAACTATTCATGTTCGTGATTTAGCAGGGTAAGTAAATAATGTTTCACTTGCACAGTCATTGATAACAAACTAGGTAACAATTCCAAACCTGTTAGGAGAGCACCAAGACTTTTAAATTGGACTTAAGAAAGCTATTTGTCTCTTCTTTTCGAGGACACAGAGAGTTCAGTTTCTTCAATCCTAGATGTGCCTTCTGGAAACCTTACGTATGTGTTGCACGGATGCTATGCAGTTAAGAGATTTCTTGCTGCACTGTACATAAAGCACAGTATCAGTTAATGGGCACAGAACTGAAAATGGATCATGGACTCTATAGCTTAATTTACTATTTTGTAAAGGTGTTGCTTTTTATCCTTTTATCTTCCTTACAAAAAAATTCTTATCTGTGCTTCTTTATTGAGGAAAATATACATGAAAACAACTTTGTATTAGGACTGCTTCTGAAACACATCTCACAAGGAAAGGCCAATATGCTTCTCAAACTACTAGCCTTAACTGTACCTCCTACATTCTAGGGTGTTACAAAACATAGCAGACCACAGGCCAAAGTTTCACTACATACTTGCAGTAGATGAGTCTGTGCACACTTTTCAAGAATTAATAAAGGTAAGGAATTTTTGTTTTTCAGGTACCTACAGTATTATTAAAACTAGACATTTTTATATAAGTAGAAGTCTCTAGGCTTCCCAAATTATCTTGTGTAATAAAAAATAAAATAATTGTGGAGTCCTCTAAGGGTTCTGTTCTTTAAACAAAATGTATTGCTTGGGGCAGATGCTACAGAATTAACTTTAACAGCTGTTCTGCTCATAAAGAAGCAAAATTTCTTCAGACAGATTCTTAGTGACACCAGACACAGTATTTGTAGGTAGGCCAATAATCACACACAGAAAGAAGAGCTGAACTCACTCAACTGGTAAAGGGACTCTCTCACCCTACAATATTCCTGAGGAAGCAGCCTAAATCCTAAAGATTTAGCTCTTCCAGCAGTGGCTGGCTCTTAAATGAGCCCAGCGTGGCTCCACTTTGGGTCCATCCTTCTGGTCACATGAAGGAACACAGGTGCAAACAATTTGCCTGTGCTCCCTAGGCAAGACACACCCTTTCACCATGTGCTCAATCACCAGTTCAAGCTGTGAAGCATCTTAATGCTTGAAGACATCTGTATGTGACTTGCTAGGGGTTCTTTATTAAACTGAAGTAGGTATAGGGAATACTGTAGAATGAATTGATATAGATTCCCCAATGAAAGTTGGGAGGATCCTTTCATGACTATGTGTTTGTTTACAGAATAGTAAACTGAGGGCAGTTGTAAATTGACAGTTTTTGTGATGGTAAGATGTTGCTAGTATTGTAGAGAGTGTTGCAAAGAGCTATTTTGTCAGGGAACTGTATCAGCTCAGAGGAAGACTGGAAAGGTACTTAGGTGAGAGTTACTTAAATGTATGATAGGTATTTCTAATTCAGGAAGTCTCTGAACTGAAAATAGTTGAAGAGATACTTGGAAAAGATATCACATATGTTTTTCCTATTCTTACTTTCATTTAGGTATCCGTTAATTGAAACTCTTTGAGACAGAATACTAGAATACGTGTAAATTTGATAGCAGTTTTCATGATTTTATGGAATCTAGTGTTTATTTGAAATCTGTTTTTACGTCTGTTTTTTAGTAATTAATATCTATTTAATGATGAACTGGAGATAGTAGCATGGAGAGCTGATGGTGTTCCATTGATCTGAAAACATTTCATGACTGTTAACAGAACTAAACATGTAAGGAATCTGAAGTGAAAATGCTGAGAGATAAAATAGGTCTCATAATTGATCTTAAGCAATAAGAAATTACATAGATTTAAGAGCTTTGGAACACTTATCTGTTTTTGGGTTTGTTGCAAGCACTGAAGAGGAGGCGATATATAGTGAAAAAGAGCTGTGTAATACTAACACAAAAGTTAAAGTTAGTATAATGTTCTTTGATCAGTAAATCATATCAGTATACTGATTTTTCAGATATAGTGTGACATAAAATAAAAATGATACTTTTTATTTCTAGAATTTTTTTTTTTTTCCCCTAAGAATCTCACTGAATATATGTATTACTATTTTATTTTCTTTACAGTGTATCAGTAAAAATGTTGGACCAGGAAAAATTGAGAACATTCCACAAGAAAATGCATTCTTAAGTAAAGAGTTAACGGTTAGTTTTTTGTTTTGTTTTGTTTTTCCTTTTTCTACATAATGGAAGAATTTAAATTTAGGTGTATCATATCATGAAATACACACACACACACACACACATATATACATATATATCATTTCAGTCAAAAAATATAACTCTAAAATATGGCTAGAAATAAGCATAGAAAATAAGCAAGCAAACATGTTTTTTAAGGAGTTATAGCTTGATCTAGAAAAGCAGTGAAGCAATCATGTTGGTGGTGTACTAAGCATACTAGAGCATGCTGATGAAACTTAGAGGAAAATAATAATTTGTAAATAAAATGAAGTACTATGGGCATGATGAACACAGTATATGTAAATTAAGATGTCTTCATCTGCTTGTCTGGAATAAACTGTTCATATGTGAAATAAATACATTAGAACCCTGCTATTTTTAAGATTGCCCTTAATGAATTTCTGAAATAATGTTTTTTTCCTGTGGACAGTATGAGACCTCTGAGTAGTATTGAAAAATTGCTCAGTGGTGTGTGTTTTGACATTACTTAAATATATATGGAAAATATATATTAAAAAAAAAAAAAAAAAACTTAAAATGTTTGCACGCAAACCTGCTTTCCCTGTGCTTAAATTCTTTCTGTTCTCTACCCTCCATTTTAGTTTCTACTTGAAGCCAACAATATTCTTTTAAGACGCAGAGCTTACGTATGTTAAATAAACGTTGTTTTGCTCCTTCAGCAAACACATGTGGATATGTTGCTTGTGAACCTGCGGATGGAAGCTATGTTTTTGAAAGAGGCTTTCAACATAAAGTGGGTTGCTCAAACAGGGCTGGTGGATAACATTGAACAGATTGTTGAAGAGTACAAGCAAAGTCGAGGACTTCTGGTAATGGTTTGGTATATGCTATTCTCAAGTGCTCATTTTCTTTTTTTTTCAAACAGAAATGGTTATACAAATAAAAGCTTTCATTTCTTTTAGTAAGAATACATAAAAGACTGATAGTGACATAAAATAAGTGAAGATAATTGAAAATTGAATTGACATTGTACTGCTAAATTAACTGTTACTCAAAGGCAGCGGATGATATAGATGATGCTCATACTATGAATTAATCTAAAACATTTAGTTTAAATGATTAGTTATTTCCTATTAGCAATAGGGAAAAATTGTTCATTTTATATAAAGAAAAAATCTGTATTGTTTGAATGATGTTACATCTTCATCTTTTTTTTTTCTCAGCCTCTCAAAATTTACATTCATGGTCCTCCAGGGGTTGGCAAATCTACCATTGCTGAAGAGATCTGCAAACACTACAAGCTACATCATATTAAGATTAAAGATGTGATTTCCGAATCAATTGCAAAACTGGTGTGTGACTTTAAGATGCTTGGCATCATTTGAAATGAACATAAACTCCATAATTTAGTATTTAAGAATGACCAAAGGCAGTAATCATATTCCAACAAAATGTTTTGAGAAATGACAATATACTGATGACTGTTGGCATTACACACTTTCTTGTCTCCTTTTCTGACCTGAAAAATACATTACTAAAACATTTCAGACTTTAGAATAGAAACATTTTTGACATGCTTATGATTCTTGGGGATGCACTGAACTTAGACTCAAAAATCCTTTTACAAGACTGCACATTACTCAGTATCTCACTGTCCAGGAGTATACATGGGTTGTTTTGGTTGTTTGGTTGGTGGTGTGGTGGTGTTTTTTTTTGGGGGGGGCCCCCCCCCCCGGGGTTGGTTTTTTATTACATCAATGTATGTGAGAAAATTTGGCCATAGAATTTCTGAGCCAATTCACGTTTCTCATCTCACTTTCAGGAGAGAATTGTGGCTCCTAAAGAAGTAGACTCAGACAGTGTGAGACAAGAGGGAGAAGATGATGAAGAAGAGGGTGAAAATGTAGAAGAAGCACATGAGTTGTTAGCTGGAATTAAAGAAAGCATGGAGCAGAATGCAGGTAGGAAATAATAAGTACTAAAGTGGCATTATCTTTCTACTTCTTTATATATTTTATATTTTTTTTCACTCAATTGTATTTATATATCTGTGTGTTTGTGTGTGTGTATACGTATATATGTGTAATCACTCTGTATTCAGTATCTTTAGATCCTTAGCCAGATCTTTTTTTTTTTTTTTTCAGTTTTTTTTTTTTTTTTTTTTTTTTTTTTTTTTTCTCAGAACAAACTGCACAATTTAAATAATTCAAAGTAAAAGGTGAAGTATGTCAGTGTTGAATTTGTGAAGTAAAGTATTCCAGTAAGAAAGAAGAGTACTGGCAGTATTTAGTCTTCACGCCCTATTTTGTTGTTAAAAATGATAATGCCTTTTAAGATGTAACATATTTTAAAGTTAGTCTTAACTATTATAAATTAATGCTACTAGTAGCTGAAGCAAAACAACATAGGAAACTGGTGGCAATGGTTGCAAGAGGGTAAAAACTAGGTAACAACAAACTTTTTTACTACGGTATACTTTCTCAATAAGTAGCTTAAATTGATGAGTTACTTTATCAGTCTATTTATCTGTAAACAGAACTTGTAAAGCCTACTTCACTTTATTTTGTCTTACTTTAATTCTGTTAGTTGTAAAAATCAAACATTTGGTTTGTCACATGCTTTTTTCTTTTCTTTTTACATAGAAGTCCAACTGAATTATTCTAAAATATCTAATTTCATGTTTTGTATCCCTAAAGCTCCAATGTTTGTATGATTGCAACATTTATATAGTTGTAATTTTATAGCTACATATATAGCTTTATATTCTCTTAATACAAAAGCTATCCATATATAGCTTTATATTCTATAAACCTTTAACAGCACATAGAGATTTAAAATATGGGTTTTTTTGTAGTCTAAAAAATTGTCTCTTCTAAATGAATAGAACTGTTAGTAGAATAATTTCAGATATTCTTTTTTTTCATAAGCTAGGTACTTAATAACCTTCTTTTTGTTTTAGGTCGTCTAGATGATCAGTATGTTATTACACTCTTTAAAGATAAGCTTAAATCTATGCCTTGTAGAAATCAAGGGTATGTTTTGGATGGGTTTCCAAAGACCTATGACCAGGCAAAAGATCTTTTTAACTGTAAGTACTTCTGCTTTTGTTTTTATTGCTGCTAGTACTGTCATAACTTTTATTTTTCTCAGTATCTTATTAGTTTAAGTGTATCAACACTGTTTTGACTGCAGAGCAGAATAAAGTTGCTTTCATGTGATGCTTTAAAAATTTAAGAAGGATTGTAATGGATTGTTAAACATATTAAGCAAGATGTTTCTGAAATGACCTTGGCTGGCAACATACTAAATACACAAATAAGAACGATACTTTCCATGTTGAACCACTCTACACAAGACAGCTTTAAGACAGATTTTTCTTCATAATATACAAGAGCTACTTAGTGAGGGGGTTCCACCAGTTCATGTTCTGTGAGTTAGAGTGGGTGTATTACATGAGCTTCAAGGGATGAAACGTAAGTGGAATTCTGCAGTATATGTTTCAAATGTTAGCCAGCACTGTCTGTGTATGAAAAGCAAGAATCAACTCCATAAATTAAAGGATAGGATTTTAAGAAAAACAAAATCTAGTCTTGTTCATTTTAATGTGGTTGGTTATAAACCACCTTGTTCAGCTGTTACTCATCAAGGAGTTGAGCCAACTGGTGGAGTAGAGCAGATAGCATCATAAACCATTTTAACCACACCGTTCCAAGCCATTTCTGCACACTGTTCCAAGCTGTGTCTCTTTGGTGGAGGAAAATATAAAGCAGCAGGAGAGGCCAGGGACAGAAAAGTAGTATGGACATATTTTGTAACTGCATATGCAAAAGAATGCTTTGCTGAATAGTTAAACAGCTATTAGTGTCCTGTGATAAATTTGCGGTGGCTGAAAGCATGGATTCCTTAACAGCTCTCTCTAAAGCAGTGTACAGTTCAGATTATTCAAATTATCATTGTTGTTGGGAATTATTTTTTAAACGGTATTTGTATAGGAGAAGTTATTTGTAAATACAAAAGTATTGCTACTTCAAATGATAATCTCAATTACATATTATTTTTGTTTTAGTGGAAGAAGAAGAAATTACAAACAAAATTCCTAAATATGATGAAATAATCACACCTGGTAAGTTTGACTTAAAAACAAACAAATAAACAACAACAACAAAAAAAGCTTTCAAATATTGCTGTCACCAACAAGAAGTCCAAAATATCACTCAATCTGTTCATGTTACGTTGAAGATAAACAAAATGTCTTATTCATGAAACATGGTTGCTGTAATATTTGAAAGCGAGCAATTAATGAAAATGAGAGTTTTGACTTGCTTTGTGTGTTCTTCTTATTCCCTTCTTGTGAAAATGCCATCAGCTGTTGGTTTATATTTACATTATGTATCTATTTGTGTTCATTTGTGAGTTCAAATTTATTATTGAAAGAAGATAGATGTGAAAGAGGAAAAGTCAAGGATAATGTGTTCTTCTTCACAGAATTTGTGATATCTTTGACTGCATCGGATGAATTTCTTAAAAACAGAATAATAAATCTGCCAGAAAGCGTTGTTGCTGGAACTCATTATACTCAGGACCGATTTCTGCAATCTTTGAATAACTTCAGGGAGATAAATGCAGAAGATGAAACTGTTCTCAACTATTTTGATGAACTTGAAATACATCCTCAGTTTATTGGTATGAAATAATAAAATTCTTAGCTGAAGTATGAATAAAAATTCCTATTGTCACAAAATTTAAATTTGAAAAAGTATATTACATATATAAATAGTATTTTCATTAACATATCAGAATACAACAAGTATTTAATTAAATACCTGCAAAAATATCTGTATGTTCATACGGATTCATTAGAATCTATAGGTAATATGTTTTATAGATCAGGTTTTGTTTTAATCATTCAGTTTTGCAGTCCAATTGGCAAATTAATTATATGACATCATTTATGGACCTCTGCTCTTGCCATCTTTCTGGACTGGCATAGTAGTATATTGCTGTCCACTGAAGTAGGTAAGTATATATCTTTATATAAAGACTGACTACAAAGATAACTTCTGTGAGAAATCTTCAACTCTGTCTTTACTCTACTTTTCCATTGTGGCTGATGCTGCAGTTGGTTTATAAGAAGTGCTGAATTAATATCATCAGATTTAAACAGATAACTGACTTAAGTCAGATTCTGAAGGAAGTTGTCTGTATTTACTGGCCTTAGTGGAAAATTGTTGAACTGTGTTGATTCATTAAATACTGAATCACATTAGTCAAATGTTTCTTCCACTATAATTTTAGAAGATCTTAACATATGGCCTTATGAATTACATTATAAGATATTTTTTTTTCCTGAGCCTGAAATATGATTAGTACAAAGGAAGTAGGCTTCAAGATTCTGGAAATCATATTTCACTACAGTAACTCACTTCATGAAGTCTGCAAATCAGTTACCTTTGTGCATTGTCATTTTCATCTGCAAAGTGGAGATAATGGCATGTGCCTATTAGATGTTCTACAAAAAGGAATACTCAAGTTATAATAGTTTCCTTTTATCTCAATTTATGAGGACTTTTGGTGATCTTTTCTCTCCCTTAGAATCAAGGTTTTTATTTTTTAATTTAAAATATATCTTTAGTAGATATGTATTTAATTATGACTGCTGTGATATTCATGTTGCAGTCTTGCTTGATCATCTGAGAAAAGGCTGCATTCTTTAAGTCCTCAAATTCAATGCCAAGAATGTTCTTAGCAGTATTTTAAGTGATTAAAAAGTTGTCTTGCACTGTGATTTTTATATCCAGCAGCAGCTAAAATTGCGGAATTTATGTACTGATGGCATAAAAATACTTGTTTGGAATACTTCAGGAATGTAATTCTCAATATACTGAGAATGAAGAAGTCTAAAAGGAATTTCATTATGTAGAATCATGTTAGATTTCTACCTTGATTAATCACCAGAGTACGAACTTCAGATTCAAATGACAGATGTGCATGCTTAGAATAATTGTATTAGCTATAATTTAGTATCTTCTGTCTGAATCAGTGAAAGAGATGAGAAGCAAGAGTGAAAAAACTGGAGTTTGTTGCCAATGCTAATGCTAGCAACCTATTATGTAACCTACGTGGAGATACAGGTTCAGAAGCTGATGGTTTTGTACCTGTAGTGTAGATATGGTGATATTTAAGACTGGCCTAAGGAACATATCTGATACTAGAATAACTTCATTTGCAAACTTCAAAACTTAAAAAGCCTGCAAGTGTTAAACAGAATAGTTGTAAAAATAATTTTAATACATTTCTCCTGAGAAAGACACACTATTTTAACCTAAATTAGTAAAGAAAATCAGATGTAGAAAATTTCATTTTGCTTTGGGGGAAAAAAAAACCCACAACCATTAATAAGCAACACAAAACAACATATAACAATTGAAAATTCTAACAGCGTTAATACTATATATACTTAGGTCTTGCAGTTATTACTGGCTTGATAATTGAAGAATAGTCTTGAAAGGTTTTCTCTTGTATTGTTTTAAAGATGTAGCCAAATATGAAGATTCTGAAAACAGATTTATAGTAAAACAGATCATCAAGGAAATTGGGGAACCACGAAATTATGGCTTGACAGATGAAGAAAAGGAGAGTTTGGAACGCAAAGCAGCTGAGGAATGTCTTGCCAGAGAAGCTAAAGAAAAAGCTGAAAGGAAGCGTAGAGAAGCTGAGGAAAAGGCTGAAAGGATAGCAAATTGGGAAGAGTGGGTAAGTCAATACATATTTTTGGGGAAGACATTATTATTTGTGTGTTATAGAAAGTAGAAGCAATAGGGCTTCTAGCAGTGTTGTGTAAGAATACATGGAAAGAGTGGCATAAATTCTCTAATTCCTTATATTGTACTTTAGATCTGGCTAGCATCAGTCGATTCAATATACCAGGCACTGTTGAAAAGGACTGCCTTAGGCAGGCTGAAGGATGCTTCAGCTTCACAGGATTTGCATATACTTTTTTTTTACTTTGCCACGCCTAAAAGATATTTTAGGCAAATAATGTGAAATGCATATTATAAGAAATTTCTTGTTCACACCTGAATCACAGCTAAATCCATGGTGGTTTGTTCTTTTTCCATTCCCTTTCCACCAGAATGCTGTTCTTTTACAATCTCCAGTTATAGCTATTTAAAAGGAAACTGACATTCTATAGAAAAATAATTTTCTTACATTAGGATGCCTATACATATTTGTGGGAAAACTATAACCTGAAATTGCTCCTTTAATAGGTGCATTTAATATTGCTCTGATGTTGGTTTGTAAGAGTTTCTTCTGTGCTTGTTTTCAGTTTCATTTAAGAGTAAATACTGTTCTGTACTCTCCATAAACTTGCCTAAGAGATTAGTAAAGGTAGTTAACATATCTTAAACATTCTAACTTTCAAGAAAGTGAACTGCATTATGTAGAGCCAAAGTAGGTATTAAAGTAATATCTATACTCTATCCTTTTAAATAGGCAGGTGCTCAAGAAGTCTGTGCTATTACTCATTTGTCCTTGAGGCTGTACTTCAGCTGCAATTTGAGGAAAGCGACTCGCAGAGTTTATTCTGTAGCATTTCTGGACTCAGTTAAACAGGAAAACTTATTTTTTTTCAAATAATTTATCAGTTTTATATGAATGGTTGCTTTTGTGCTATGCCTTGGATATGCAAAAGCAGTCTTCAAAGTCTCTTCTGTTTGCTGTATCTGTATATGACTAAGGCTACTAACGAGTAAGATGAGAGGAAAATAAACATGTTTTTGAGTGATCTTTTAGCTCAAACTAGTGCAGTATTTTCTAGTCTATTTCCCAAATATCTTATTGAAATAGGAGAACCTGAAAACTTTAGATGTTCTTTTAGGCGTTAAGATGAGAGGAATAAAATAATTTTGCCAGGGAGGTTTTCGTCATGCTCTCTTTGCTGTCCTTAGTGTGTGCCATGTTCTCTAAATTTAGCAGTCCATATTTTTTCCTGGTAACTGCGTTTTAAAGTTCTATTCGTGGCTTTTAATACTACTTCTTTTTTTTTTTTTTTTTTTTTTTTTTAAGGTAGCCATCATTATTTAGTCAACTACTATTCTACTATTTAGTAACTTAATATTAATGTTATTCTTTGTTGCTGTGTAAATTATTTGTAGAATAAACATTTTGAGGAAGTTAAAAAACAAGAACAAGAATTATTGGAAGCCCAGTCCATTCCACTACGAAACTATTTAATGAGGCATGTCATGCCAACACTTATGCAAGGGCTAAATGAATGCTGTAAGATCAGACCAGATGATCCAGTTGATTTTCTGGTAAGGTTATTATTATTATTGTACATTAGGAAAAACCCCAGTGAAAATATTAATGGATCAAAGACTGTTAATATAAGCACTTAAACTATTTTCAACCTACTTGCATTATAACCATTAATTATGTGCAATACAGGTGAACAGTGATTATTGCGAAAACTAATGTACCCTATAACTGTATGAGATCATTTGACATTGTATCACTGTATCAATCCCGTTTTGCTATGGTGCTTAGGTTCTTCTGCTTTTTTTTTTTATGGTACCCTGCCAATTCTGCTGCAAGGCTGAGACATGTAGGAAGAGAAGCATCACTCTCTACTCTGCTTACACCCCTCTAGATACAGCAGTACTATTTGAACAATAGTCTTCAATGATCTCTTTACAATACACAAACAAATTAATGAGTGAATATAGTAAGACTCCCACAAAACAATTCCAGTTGCGAGGGACCTCAAGAAGTTACTTAGTTCAGCTTTCTGCTGAAAGTTGGGTCAGCGCTGTATTCCCACAGGGATTCAAATGCTGTAAATGTGTCACTGTATGGATGCTCTTCTTGCTCAATTCCCTGGAAAGTTGTTGACAGGCAATCACTGTTTTTAATGAAGAGAAACTATCAACTCAATGAAATCAATGAAAAGCTTAGAGTGAACATTTACTGTAGGAGTAAGAGATCATTCCTACTTACTGCATAACTTTGTAAGAACTGTATTATTCGTAATACAGTCTTTTGAGTTCAGAAATCAGGCCCTATGGTACTTCCTATAATTTTTTGTGGAGTAATTAATAAATAAATAAAATGGGGTCAATGCTACAAAAAATGAGACAAAATGAGGTGGGTGTATTTGTAAGAAGCTTCTTATAGGTATCCAACAGAGATGACATTTTAGACACATTTAATACTTTCTGCACTTTTTTTCCAGTATATTGTTGTTATCTTATGTACATTTTAAAACTGGAAGCTTGAAAATGACTTTGAAAATCTTCTGTTTGCAGGCAGAATATCTCTTCAAGAACAATCCTGATGTGAAATGAAATAGCAGTTTCTACAGCTGTTAGGATTTAATACTAAATAGAAAGGGAGAATGTTCCCAATGTTATTTACAGTAAAAATTCTTAGGCTTAGTTTTATTCAAACACTATTTTTAAAATGTCTGCTTTTTTACACTGTTCTAGTATGTGGCATTGAAGTTTTTAATAGTCCTTCTCCTGAAGTACTGCACATTGATTAACACACAGATGTGTCTATTTCATGCATCATCTTCCAACTGTGAACCTTAAGAATCTGGTTATTTTTTTTTTTCTCCTGGATTTTTTCAGTTACATATTGTATTTAAACAGCATTTCTGCTATGATCCATAAAGGAAGTAAGCAGGGAGCCTGAGGAAAGTATTCTCTTTACACTTTTTTTTGTGTGTGTATGTTTAAGTTCCTAGATGTTGCCAGTCCAGATTACCACCTGAATCACTATCACCGGAAGATGAAATAATTGGTTACTTTAGAAAAATATATAGTTTGAGACTGTCTTATTTTTACCCTTGCTTTAAAAAAATACAATGACACATGCTTTCTGTGTGGAATTGCTATACATGCTATAGATGTAGTACATGTACTTTCCTAAGAATAAATTTTTGAGCAGCTTGAGCAAAGCATAATTTTTTTTTGTTTGTTTGAAGTTCTGAACTTGATCTTTGTGGATCACTTCCACCTCAGGCTAGTCTTTGAGATAGATGTAGTCTACTGCAAACAGGGCTTTCATAGCTTATTATTAGAAAACAGTCTCTCTGCTCCGTGTGGGATCTAAAAAAGAAAATAGGTCTGATGTAGGTGAGAAGGGACGAAAGCCAGCCCACGCCTGAACAGAATTCTCTCTTTTATTCAACGAAACGAGGTGGAGGGACCTTCCGCAGGCGGCCCCTTCTCAAGCCTCGAGGGCCCTGGCACCGGTCACGGATGCGGGAGTCGAAATGCCCGCAGCCGCGCCGCATCAGTTTCCATGACAGTTAAAGGCTCCCAGGCCGACCGGCGCCAGCACGGAGACATTCGTCAGAGCTTCGCCCCTTCCCGTCAACCCCTTCAGCGGGGTCGCCCCAGCCTCGCCCCGCGTTAGCCCGGCGGCGCCGAGGTTACAGGCTGCCCCGCCACGCCGTGCGCACGCGCCGCCTCACGGCCGTTGGAGCTTTGTTTTCAAACCCCGGCGCACTTCTCGCCAGAACTACAGCTCCCAGGATGCCTCCCGGCCCCGCGGCCAACTGAGCGTGCGCGGACCGGCTAGCGTGCGCGCCGTGCGGGGGTGGCCGCGCCGCTGCGTAGGTCCCCCCCCCGTTCTAGAACGTTGCTGTGGTAGCGCCCGGGCGCCATGTTAGAAGGCCGGAGGGGAAGAGGAAAGTGAAGCGGCGGCGGCCGGGCCCGACGAAGGGCTTTCTCTTCCCTCCGAGCCCTCACCCCCGCCCCGGCCCCTACCATGGTCACGGCTCCCGCTTCCCGGCGGGGCGAGTGACCGGTCCGGAGGCGGCAGCGGTGGGGGAGGACGAAGAACAAGAGGAGGAGGGAGAAGGGGAAGACGCGGCGGCGACGGTGGTGGTGGCGGCGGCGGAGGAGGAGGAGGAGGAGCCGGAGAGACGATGCCGTTGTAAGTTGGAACCCTCGCGGAGCAACTTACGGGCCCGCGCCTCGCGGCCGGCACTCGGCGCTCTCTGCCTCTCGCCCTTCCTCGCTCCCGGTCCCCGCCGGCCGCGTGCCCTTCCGGTGCCGCAGTGCGAGAGGCAGCGGGGCCGGCCCGCCCCGCTCCTGCCTCTTCCCCGCACCGGGGGAGACGCTGATGCGGCCTTTACTTTGTCGTGGTCTTTTAGTGGCCGGAGGGTGAGGGGACGTGCGCGGGGCTCTGGCCGAACGCCGGCTCAGGAGGCATTGAGCGGCAGCGTCGCGCGTGTTTATATCCCGCCGCCAAACGCGAAGCTTCCCTTTCCTTCAGGAGTGCCGGCGAAGTCTCTCCCACGGCCTCCGAGCGAACGATTTTCCCTCATCGGGCGGGCGGAGGAGACCGGGGCGGCGGTTCTCACGCGGTCCCAGCCCGGCCCCTGTCCTTGCGGAACTCCCCCGGCCCGCGGTGACTCCAGCACGGCGCTGCGGCTTACAGCGCCCCCTGCCGCCCCTCCCGCCGCCACGCGGGGCCGGGGCTCTCCTGCACGCAGCCTCGTGCCTGGGGCCCGCCGCGCCGGCACCCCGCCGGGGGCCTGCAGGGCCGGAGGGAGACGCGGCTCTGGTCTTGTTTCCTCTCCGCTTCCGTTTATTCCGCCCCTTCCTTTTTTTTTTTTTTTTTTCCCCTTTTTTTTTTTTTTTTTTTCTTTTGCCGCCGTTTTGACGGCACATGGTTGAGATGAAAAAACTCTTTTGTTCCATAGTGCGAATGTTAATAGATTATTTATCCTGAACAAGTCAGTGATGGGTGTGACTTGTAGGTATAAGGTATGTGTACACCTGAGAAAGGGTGGGATGTTGAGTTAAAAATAATTTGGAGTTACAAATAATTTGGAATTACTGCAATCACTGTTGTTGTTTGTGTGTACAGTTCACGTGCAGAATAGCCCAGTTTGCTTATTGAATCTAAAATACTGCTGTATTCATCACGGTGCAGATAATTTGAAACAAAAATATGTGGCAGGATTGCCACGGTGGGTGAAGATAATAGGGAAAATGGTCATCCCAAGGAATTTCTGAGCTATGTATAATGAGAATGCAGTGTATTCGTAGATAAGTTTTGCACATGTTCAATATGTTCTGGAATGAAAAGTTGCCAGAAAGTTTGAAGTGTGCCATATTGGATTTTTTTTAATTCATTGATTGTTTTTTTTCTTTTGTTTCTTAAGGAAAACAGGAAAGTGAGATACTTTGTTTGCTTTCGTTTGTAGTTTATTTTGCTGTGACTTTGTTTCATAACAACATTCAAAGTTTTGTGCTACTTCTAATGAATGAACTGTAACACTAATGATCTTCTACTTCAAAAGGTGTAGAATTCCTTGCTCAGTTTTCCTAAAGTTGAAATTTGATACTTAAACTACACATTCTTAAGTAACATTGTATAGTTTGAGTTGCAGATCACTTCCTGATCTTTCAAGACCCCCCTGTAAACTTTACCTTTGAGGATGCTGTCTACTATTGACAAGCCAAGTCAGAGCTGATCTCTCACGTAACCAGCAGCTTTCATAAGTCTTTAGGTCAAAAGCGTTAGTTTGAAGTTCTCAGCAGGTGTGCAGCATACAAGGTGCTTCAGTTGTAGGAGAGCAGACTCAGGTTATATTGAGGCCAATAGCTGGTATTTTTTGAAAAAGCCTTTTCATGGTTGATAAAAGCATTAAATTTATCCTGGGGACTTGTGTTTACCGTGATTCTCATTAACTCCTTGTGTAAAAGAAGAGATTTCCTTTATGTAACCAATTTTGTAGGGGTTTTTTGTAGTTTGTTTTTCTAGGCCTTGATGGAAACAAAAGTAAAAAGCAAATATTTCTCGTGTTATAAAGATACGTTTCAGCTAACTGTTAGATAAACAGTAGTCGTTGGTGAGCATTGTCTAGAACATAGGATGGCAGGGAGAAATGAAGCTCACTGAGTTCCATATATTTCAATAAGGATGAGGATTTACGGAGAAAAGTTTTGGAATCAATGAAGTGGTGCTGTGTTTCTGTAAATTGATGATGCAGCCTCTTCATGTAACCTGGGCCTTTTGGTCTCTCCAAACAGAAATCTGTCTCTCGTTAAACTACTGATACTATTGCATCTAAAACTTCTCTGCTGAACTTACACATCTGCTGAAGTCTTCATAAAAATCTTTGTAAAAAAAACTTTTTTTTTATCTTTAACCTTATGTGGAAAAAGCACACAGAATCAGCATTCTGAACACTTAAGTGTAGAAGTGCTGTGAAAGTTGTTGGTTCTGTTAACTGGTCTTTGACTTTTGGGGCATGGGTAGTGGTTTGTTTTTTTTAGAGTAGAAAGTCAAGTTTATAAAAAGTATTACTTTGTGAGTGGGACAAGGTAACTGTTGTGTTTCTGAACAGAGCTCAGGTTTTTATAGACTGAATTTTGGAAGGAATGAAATGCTTACTAATTCCAGAAAGCACCAGACATACTCCAGAAGAAATCTGCCTTAAAGCTTTGATAGTCAAGGGAAAACTCCTCTAAAAAATTCAGCTGAAGATGAAGTTGTTGGATGTTGTACAGTAGGAACCATAAGGCAAATGGGTGCTTTTGCGGTGGTTTTCAGTCTTCTACTGTGACTCCAGAAAAAAAAAAAGTTTGATACCTGTGAAGATAGAGATACAACACAGTACTTGGGAACGCAGTTATTTTGGGCTGGGTGAATTTCACCTTGGAGGCAAGTTAATCTCTTAATATTGAACCATTTCATCTGATTCCTGTCTTTGTTGCTTCCTGATATTCAGCCTTACAGAATTTCTCAAACTACTACCTTGAGTGTTTTGTCTCAAGAATAGCAATAAATCTCGGGTGGCTTTTTTTTTCTCTTTTTTCCCTTCAGTTGCTGCCTGCGCAGTCCAGAAACAATTTCAGCAGTTTAAACCAGAAGAACATCAGAAACTGTTGTTAGTAAGAATGTCATGGATGGGTGTGTGTCTGGACGTGCTGTTTTTGCTATTCTGTACAAAGACTGTCCCAGACAGATGAGCCAGAGGGGACGATTGCCATAGCTGAATCTCTTCTGTTGTTTGTCATTGCATCTGCTTTAGGTGCCTTGCACCTACCATACTGGCAGTTTACACACTTTATTTTTTGCTGAATTTGAAAACCTTTTGCTCAGAAAGGGCAGCTGGATTGTCTTAAGGTGAAATGCGTGTTTCCGAGTGATGGGTTTGTGCAGACTTCATTGAGACTTTTCGTATATTCCTGAGATGTTGTGTGTAGTGGTTAATACATTAGCATTAAACAGAAACTTTAAACTGAAATTGACGGGTCAATCACTGATGCTGAAGTCTTCAAAATAAACAAAACTTGTTGAGACATTCTCTGAAATCTAACAT